ATTTTAGGAGTTATGTGAGCCATATGCTCAGATTACGCTCACTTCAAGTTGATCTTCACATTGAGAATGGGGATGTCTCAGTGGTCCAGCCTCTCCTGATTAATCAACTGCTCTTCCTTTCAAACTGCCAAGTCCCCCGGCTATGCACAGACGGTTCTGTTCCTGGGCTTTCTTCCTTTGTTTCTGTTGCAGTTCTGTGGATGGAATCCAAGACCTCACACGTGCTAGGCCAGCACTTCCTATGAGTCACATCCCAATCCCAGCTCTGTCTCTGATAAGCTTTAAAATCAAGGACAGTAGACTCTTGCTATCCATAGTATGTACATAGTTCCAGGAGTCTGCCACCGAGGAAAAAAAAAAACATGCTCAGGACACAGAGTTCATTCTGTATTTTGGTGATTGATTCATTTTTCCAAATAGTCCCAACTTCTGCTAAAGATATGCCACCCATCAACAAACCTAAAATGTTCACTTCAGCATTTAAACGGGTGCCCTTTGCTCACTGGGAGCATTACCATCGCTTTTGTTGGCAGATTTTCACAAAATGAAGGGCAGGGAAGCACTTAGTGGCTTCCCCAACAACATGCACACAGCTGATAGCACCTGATCGACTGAGACTGCCCAGCACGCGTGTGGGGAGATTTGTTTGGAAATTCCTTTTTACCTATTTTTGCCATGCTTGGTCAGAACCATATGAAGTCTGTGAATAAGTTGTACTCGTGTCTGTTCTTCAGCTCTGTTCTTCATGCTTGCTGAGTCACCCTAAGCCCTTCCCAGTTTTAGATAAATCTTGGAAATAGCCCATCACTTTCCACAAGGCCTGCTGGGATCTGGGTTGGAATTGTGTTGTTCAGAGATCAACTTGGAAAGATTTGGTGCCTTCATAACTCAAGTTTTCATCTTGAACATGGTATGGCTTTCTTCTTACTTCTCAGCCAGCTTTTCAGTTCTTAGTGTGTGGATTTTGTGAATCTTCTCTCAAATATACTTCCAAGTGTTTTTTTTTTTTCTTTCTTCTTTATGGTGCTGGTATTGGAGCTTGAACTCAGGGCTTGGGCAGTGTCCTTGAGATCTTTTTTTTGAGGCTACTGTTCTACCACTTGAGCCACAGCTCCACTTCTGGCTTTTTTGGTGATTAGTTGGATGTAAGAGTCTCATGGATTTTTCCTGCCTGAGCTGGTTTCAAATTGTGATCTGCAGACCTCAACCTCCAGGGTAGCTAGGGTTACAGGTGTGAGCCACTGGTGCCTGGCTCCAAGTGTTTTCAACTCTGTATTTTGCACTAGTGACCTCATGGAAGTGGTAGGATATTCCAGACAGGTGCAGTACCCCTGCACCCTGTCCCATGCAGCTTCCTGACAGGGCCTCACTAGCACAACTGGCGAGAGGTCTTCCCGGAACACAGACTGGACGGCACACTCCTATCTCACCAGGACTATGTATGCTCACTGTGTTTATAGAGAGTCTCTGACACTGTACTTTGTGTGTGGGTTCCTGGAGCTGTGGCACAAGGCTGGACAGTATAGAGTACATGCCTATAATATCAGCTAAAAAGAAGTGTAGGTAGGACAACTTTGGCCTGAGATCACTCAGCAAAAATATGAGATCCCATCTGAAAAATAGGGCTGAGGCGTGACCCAAGTGGTAGAGCACCAGTGTAGAAAGTGCAAGGCCCCGAGTTCAATCTCCAGTAATGTCAGCGGTGGAGGCCAACACCCCCCAGTCCTGAGTGTCGGGCAACACAGCCTATCCCCCATCTTCTCCTGGGCCATTGACGAGGTCAGAGTTCATTGTTTTCACTGGGCACCCAAGGCCTGTGCAGTCTGGCAGCCTCCGGGTTCTACCCAGGAGTTGGACGGCTCTGCAGGAGACCCTCCCGCCCAGCAGCCAGCTGGCTCCCCATGCTGTCCTCCCTGCAGAGCACCTCGTCCCTGTCCTGGACAGGGTCAGCGACGCCTTATCTTCCCCAACACCCGACAGAGACATCTAGGAGACACCTGCCACAGACAAAAGCCACCACAGTCCTGACAGGCCACAGCACTGCAGTGGGGTCCCACTCCAGGCCACAGTGGCTGGGGGTCTCTGGGAGACAGGAAAGGCGTCATAGAAAGGGGACCTGTGTCCCCAGAGGGGCATTGCACTCCGTGTAGGACAGGGCACCACAGAGTCGACATGCAGCATGCCTTTGAGGAAAGCAGGCTTTCCACACGGTCCTCCTGGATTCCAGGGAGTCACTCTGAAAAGCCACTTTCAGGAACAGGCCTCTGGTCCTGGCTGTTATTTTTGTGTGAGCAAACTTGGCAGACACTATTAAACCAAAAATGTTTGGCCTCTTCACCCCCTGCTGTGAAAGGCTGGGCTGGAGATCCAGGGCAGACAGCCACGGACTGGCCTCCCACGGGGCAGCCACCCGACTCCGCCAGCCCCAAGTCCTGCTGCGCTTCAAAGGTCCTTACTGGTGTCCCTCCCCCCCCCACCAGTTTCCCCTCCCTTCCCACCCCACCAGTGTCCTCCCCCTTCCCCAGACCCCAGGCTCTTTCCCCACGATAGAGGCAGGGCATCTGCCTCCTCCTGTCTCACTGCAGGGTGGCAGTAGCAGCTAGCAGCACCTCAGGCTTCCTGTTACCCTTGGAAACCACTGTTTGGGTAAACTGTGTCCAAGCCCTGGGGCTGGCGACAGCGTCCAGCTGGAGCGGGTCATGTGGTCTTGCCCTTCCTCCCTCTGCTCTGACCCCCAGCCTGTGGGAGCTGCTGTATGGCTTTGAAATGGTCACATCTCCTACCTGCCACCTAGTGTCAAAAGCCTGAGACAACAACTCTGAAGTTTTGGGGGCAGGGGACACTTGTCATCCTACCCCTCCAGAGGCTGCAGGAGCATCATAAATTCAAGGCCAGCAGGGACTACATGGAGAGGTCTTAACCAACCAACCAACCCTGAAAAGGCAACTCTAAGCCACTGTCACAGACAAGCCTGGTGGTGTGTGACCTGGGCAGTGCTGAGCTGAGTGTTGTCTGAGAGTTCAGAGGTGAGCAGGGCTGAGCTGCCAGGTCACTGGAACTCAAAGTCACTCACAGCTCACAGGGCTGGATGGGGGGTGCTCACCAGGGATAAAGCTGGTAGGAGATGGGATATGTATGTAGTAGAAAAGAAGTTTCTTAACTGCACCATCAGGAGCACTGAAGAGATAGGTCAGCTGATGGTACAATGAATGAATCTGGGGCTCTGGGAACGTGTATTTCCTGCATGACAGGTGCTGTCACAGCCAACATGAAGGCCATATTAGTCTACCCAATGAGGTGATGCTGGGGATGCTCAGGATGGCTTCCAGAGGACCCAGCCTGAGGCCCCTGTGGCTCTGACAGCTACTGCTGTCTGTAGCAGATACTTCCCTGAGTGCTGCGAGTTTAGTGAACCTAAGGGATTGAGCTCACAAACTTTGAAGTCACTGGAAAGCAGCATGGGTTTATGGGGCTGTTTCTGCATGTTCGGTGTGAGCGGGACAGAGTCCCAAGCTTCTGGGTCTGTGGTGACAGCAGGCTGTGTGGAAACCTGGTCGGCTCTCCACCAGCTCGGCTAAGGCTGGTGAGGCTCTGGTGGAGGCCCCGGGTGTCAAGAGCTGGCAGTCCCATTGTTCATTCTCCTCAGCAGGTCCAGCATCAGCCTGTGTCCTTGGCTGTACACGCTCTGACTAGCCTTTCCAGGGGTCTCTGGGGTTTAGGCAAGGTTGGGGCTGTTCCTGGCTACATTCATGGGTCTGTGCTGGTTACTGGTTTGCATTTTATGATGAAAAGGTCCTCTCCTGTCCCCAGCCCGGGAACTGGGAGGACCACATTCTCCTTAGGAAACCATGCTGACAAGTAGAGCAGAGCCTCAAGACTCATACTCTGCAGAGCTCTGTCTGACAGACAAGAGCCCAGCCCCACAGCAGCTGACTCCAGCCTGGCAGGATCCAGGTTCTAGGATGCCCCAGTGCATTCCACCTGTCCTTCCAAGGCTGAGGCCCAAGCAGCTCCCTGGAGTCCGAGGGTTTCCATCTCAGGCAGCAAACTCAGATAGCCGCATGTGGGTTCCCTACCCCTCAGTCCTCAGATTCAGAAGGAGGTGGCCTGGAAGATTCTAGGCAAATCCTGGGCATGCCAGGGCCTGTCCTGCAAGTTTCTGCTGACCTCCAGAACTTCCCTAGTCCCTGAACACCTTTTTTGTTTTCTTTTTTTGCCAGTCCTGGAACTTGAACTCAGAGCCTAAGCTCTGTCTCTGTCAAGGCCTCATGTACACCTGGCTTGGGCTAACAACCCAACATCCCAAGTGCTTGCTCAGAGGTGAGGCAGGAGAGGCCTTTCCGATCTCACACAGCCTGGTGCTATGTCTGGCCTCAAGACTCAGTGGTCTCAGTCTAGTGGAGGCCACCAGATCTCAGAGATACCCTTCCACTCCCAGGAGAAAGAAAATATCTGCTTGGGTCTAATAGTCCCTGCTTCCTGCCTGGGCACTTCAGTTTCCTCTTCTGTGAAGTAGGGAGCCCAACTGACACCTCAAACTTTGCTAGAACCAAACAGTTTGGCTGAACCTAGGGGTTCACTGTAGGCCAGCCTCCCACCCCCTGCACATGACTGCTCACCCCACCAAGCACCACATTCCAGGTCCTTTTTGTCAGAACTCCATGTAGCTGTGACATTCACTGAATCCCAAAGATGGGTCACAAAGCTTGCACAGCAGACAGACCCTGAAATGTCCCTGCAGGTCATCTTGGGGTCATCTCTTCCTGTTGTCCTCCCCAGTTGAGGCCAAGGTCTTTCCCTATACAGGCATTGGTCCCATTCTGTCATCCCACAAGAGCCATAGACTGTCCTTGTGCCCAACATGCCTCCTAACAACCACGTACATCTCAAGGCCTTCAGCTCCAGGGCTGTCTTTGGCTCTGGGCCCTCCAACCCACACCCACCCTGGAACCTCAGGTATCCACATGTAAAGTGTTTTTTGTGGTTTTTTTTGCTTTTTGTTCTGTGGGGTTCATGCGGGAAAGTGCTTTGGGGGCCCCTCACCACCAAGCACCGTCTGAGGACAGGGGTGCCCAGATGAGAGTCTGCATCCCTCAGGGCTCGGAGGGATGCACAGTGGAGTCGTTGGCTGCCCTGAGCCCCAGCTGCAGCCCGGGGCATGGTCATTGATGGCTCAGCAAACACGTGTCACATTCTAGCTTGTCCTCTAGTGAATAATTCGCTGAAGAGTTGAAGTTCTGTGATGGTGACCACGAAGCTCCAGCCACCGACGTCCTGGATGGTCTATTCCTAGGACTGAAGAGAGCTTTGGGTAATCCTGACCACCAGGTGGCATTGTTGGACCAGCTGGGACCTGCTGGGAGTGTGCACTGAATGTGCAGAAGTGCTCCCTCCCAAAGCTGCAGGAAAGACTAACTCAGAGCATGTGTCCTCACTCCATGAGCACCCAGGGGAACAGTGACATGCAGACATGCAAGGCCTCTGTGGCTTCTAAGTCCCGAGGGTCTCATCACCTGCATGCATGTGTGTATGGACTGTATAATTGTGGCAATGCATGAGAGCTGTGTATTTGAACCTGTCGCTATGCACATGCCAACATGTACATGTTCACACATGCACACACATATTGCTGTACTCATGTGTCCACACATAATTGTGGACATACATGAGATCATGTATGCATACCCGTAAGTACAGTTGTGTGGGTTCTATGTGAGTTGTGTGGCTGTGTGTGTGGCTCTGTGTGTGTGTGTGTGTGTGTGTGTCACACCACCATCTGCCCTGTTCCCTCTACCTCTGGGCCTTTTCCATGGGACATGGGAACCTGGGATCCCAGGCAGAGGGCTTTTAGGAAAGAACAGGGCCTGGCCAACCCTGTGCCCTGCCCCTATGCCCCACCCCTGCCTTCTCTGGCCCCCCTCTAGATGCTGAGTACCTTCTCCGGGGCTGCTGTGCTGTCTCGCGCCCTCCTCCTCATGGGGTATGGGATGCAGCACACCCAGCTGGTCCTTGTTCTGGAGGCCAAGAGTGCAGGGGTGAGTAAGGCTGCCTGGGCGTCATTCCAGGGATCTCACCAGCACCCCAGGGCACCCTCCACCAGGGCTTCTCCTACTTCTGCCAAACCTACTCCAGCCCCAGAGCGTGAGGCTTGCCCACAGAGAGCCTAGGGGTTGTAGATTTCTCCAGAGTCAACCAGACTTCTCTTGTCCTTTGTCCTTGTTCTCTGGCCAGGAGAAACCCTGGAAACACTAGCAACCAACGAAGCAAGCCCATTCCTGAAGCCCTAGAGCCTCAAGTGCAGGTGGTGAACCACTGGAAACATGGTAGGCCCATGCTAGACCACTCTGAGTGGTGGCTCATGGTTGTCTTCACAGTGCTCACCCTAGCTCGGGGCAGAACCCGCCTGAGCGGGCAGCAACGGACCATTGGCACATAGCTGCAGTGCCTACCATCTGAGCAGGCCTAGCTGGTAAAGTTGAAGACAACAGAGCACATGGTGGTCAGGGTAGAGCAATGAACCAGTCCCGTCTGTCCAGGCACAGACCATCCAGGTGCCTTCAGGGGTCAAGGACATCTCCTGCCCCACCACACCGGACAGCTCCTTGCAGGAGCAAGCCCTGAGCAAATTCCAGGCCAATACCGAATATCTGCTTGTCTAGCCTCTGCAGTAGAAGGCAAGCTGCCCAAGCTGTACGCCCTGTGGCCAAATACAGCCAAGAAACAATGTGAAACATGCTTATTTGCAAGAGGCCTGCCAATCAGGTCTTGATCTGGAGACAGTCTTAATATCCGGTAAAAGCTGATGTGACCTGGTCATGTGCAGGAGGCCACAGAGACAGAGGCCTTCTGAGTGAAGATGGAACTGAGTTTCCCCACTGACTTGCTCAATGATCATACAAAAGTCTGAAGCAAGGTAATAAAAACAGTAATAATGTCTCAATAGTGAGCAGAATGCCAACCCTCCCGGGGCACCAGCACCCGGGGCATCCCGACACCTAGAAGGCATTTCAGACATGGAGGAGAATGCACCCCATTTGTTTCTAATAAGTGGATTTGGGGGTGATTCTCAAACACTCCCTTTGTTGTGGTACTTCCTACAGTTTGAGTTCCCTCAAGATTATGTATCAGTTTTGCAAACCCAATAGGGCAAGTTTTCTTCTGCAAAAATGTATAAGACAAACTACTAATATAGCTATTAGCTCTCAGCTACTCATTTGGATAATTGCAATTTACTCCTTTGTATGTATATTGTTTGAAATGAAACAAACCCTATCCATGGGCCTTTCTTTGTGGCCAAGGCCCTTGTCCTCAGGAAGTCTTGGGGTATTGCTAGTACATCAGGGTTTGCTTCAAAGGGGTGTGGGTGTTCAGCACCAACATATTCTCCTACCTTCAAATCTGAGGCCTGCTCCAGAGGGCCTGGGCACCAGGCCTGCCTTCCACAGCCTCTGGGCTGCAGCTAAAATCCCAAACTAAAGATGCAAGTACCACACACACAGTCCCCTTGGCTCATTCTCTGTCTCCTTCCCCGTCTGGTCATTTGCTGGCTGAGGATGTGGGGAGATGGAATGGTATGGGGCCCCTGGAGAATGTCCCTGGAACCCACAGAAGCTCTGCTTCCCCTCTGCCCCCAGCCCTTCAGCCCCCATCCAAGCTTGGTCTCTGCCCACACCCAGGGACCAGTGGAAGCTCAGCATCACTTACTCATCCTCCGACAAGTCCCCTGTGTCCACTTCAGGCCGCTTCTCTTCTGCTACGCCACAGATGAGCTCCTGTTGGGAGGGGCAGGAGAGGTTCAGGGGGATGAAGGTGCCAATCTGTGCGATCTGCCCAGGTAACAGGTGGAGACACAGATGAGGTATGGACTTCATTTGGTCCCGGGCATCCCCCACCACATAGGCTCTGCTGAGCATGAGGGTACCCTCACTGGGTACTCTGAGAGGAACTAACATTTGTGTAGGCCTCCAACTCTGCCACTGGCTGATGTCCTGGGGTCCTAAGAACTCAGAGCCATCCTGAGTAAGGCCTAGGGAAACTTAGTATGTCTTTTCAAGGGTCTGGTCTGAGGGCAAACTTGAATAAAAGGTATAATCTGAAAAATAACCAGCCCTTGGGTGAGAGCTTAAAATCACCCATAGATCAGGTCAAGAGGTTTGCAGGGCTGTGGTTGTTCACAGAGGAAGCTCACAGCTAACTATGCTGGACGGGTCCAGACAGATGCACAGTCAGCCTTATTTTTAGATAGTCATGATGGTAGTGATGGTGGTAGTGCTGTGAGGATAGCCATTGTGATGGGGATGGTTGTGGTACTGTGCTTGTGCTGCTGCTGCTAGAAGTAGCAATGAGGGCAGCGAGGATGGTGATATCAATGGCGTGGTGATGATGTGATGTGATGGCAGTTCTGGTCATGGTGGAGATTATGGTAATGGTGATGCTGATGGTAGTGATGATAGTGATGATGGTGATACGTAACACTAAGGCTTTCTGGGCACAGAGCAGTGTTCTGAGAAGTCTATGCAATAACCCTGGGCTATGGGTACTGTGAGCTCCATTCTGCAGGGAAACAGCCAGGCAGGGGCAGTACACAAGTTTGTAAGCAGTTACTGATGGCGCTGACAGCTCCACCTCTGTCAAAGTCTGCTCTCCAGTAACCCAGTGTACTTTGTCCTCCATCCCAGCACGATCCCACAGAGACCCAGGCTGGCATGACGTCTCTGCCAGGATGCACCTGCCTGTGTAAAGGGAGGTGAGGCCCTGAGGCCAGCCCTCGACCCCTTGGTTACCCTGGAGCTTCTGGGCCCGGGTCCCAGCTCCGCCTCTGGCCCAGCCCAGACAGTGCGGTGATCTGACTTTTTTCTCTGGGGTTTTGTCCGTACCTCCTCGACATGGTCTTCCAGATCAATCTCCACAAACACTGATGGTTTCTGTGGGTGGAAACAAAGACATGTGAGTGAGAAGGAGGAAAAGATGTCTCGGGAGGGCCTGTCGACCCGTGGCCTGTGGAAAGCCAGGTTCTAGCAGCTACCAAGGGGCCCACCAGGTGCTAGTGCTAGTAGGGGGGCAGGAAGGAGGAGTGGGGAACAGGAAGACTGGTGAAAAGTCCATGCAGGAGGTATCCATGGGGTCCACTCTGGAGAAGAGCAAGAGAAAAACACAGCCTTCCCATTCCTCCCTATTCCTATTCACTGGAAGCAGAGTATCCCTGAGACCAGTCTTCACCATCAACTTCTGAGTGCAAGGCCTCCAGGAGACAAGGCAATGCTGAGACCAGAAGGAGCCTCATCTCCTCGGGCCTGCTCCACAGGAAAGCACTTAAGATTCTGTCTCTACACACCTTCCTGAAGCCACTTGGCACCAAGGTGGTGGAGACCCATGCTGGCTTGGGACAGGCTTGGCAGCATGTTGTGGGCTTCCCTGTGGTTTCCATCTGGGCATCATCACTGACCCAGAACCACAAGGGCCCCATGTTGTAAGCACTGGTGAACAGTATGCCCAGCTGTCTCCACCCGGTATACTGTCTGAGAGGAAGAGTCAGAGCCACATTCCCTTGTGAGATGCTGTGGGAACTCCTATCATGGTGCTGGTGTGAGGCATCTGTGGCCAGCACACAGGTGAGCTGCTCTGGGGTATCCAGCTTCATAGGATGGTGCCTGCTCAGATGACACCCTGACTGTCTGAGAGAGGCCTGCTTAGCAGTCCTATGCATCTTCCTCCTGCTACTAGAGAAAGCAGCTCTTGCTTCCTTTTCCAGAAGGCTGCTCTGCCTCCCAGACTCTGAATCTTGCTCCTTTAAGTCAAAGAAGATACCCACAGGTGAGCAGAGGGGACCCGTGCAGGAGGACAGAATTCAGAGCTGAGGGTGGGCCTGACCTCAGCCTCTGGGGTGCGTCTTCCCTTGAACTCTCCATCCTGCTCCTCCTTGGCGCTGACTTCAGAATCACTCTTCTCACTCTCTGGCTCTATTTTCCCACTCTTATGGTCCGGCTCCAGCTTTCCCCGTGTATCTAGACTTTTTTCTTTCTTGTCTTCCTCTAGGCTTGCCTGGCTGTGGGGGAAATATAGAAGGAGTGGTTTGGAGCAGATGGCACAGACAGAGGAGAGACTTGGAGCAGATGACACAGACAGAGGAATGGGCTGGAGCAGATGACACAGACAGAGGAGAGACTTGGAGCAGATGACAGACAGCTTCAGGCTAACAACTGCTCTCCATCTCCATCTTGGGCTCCTTCCTTAGTGTTTTGGGGAGTGGATGAACCTGAGGCTGTTGTGGAGATAGAGAAGGACCCTCTGGGAATAGAATAGCCTGGTCTTCCTAGCTCCCTCTGATGACCCATCTTGGCCACAGACATCCTGAGCTCCCCATTTTTGTACTGCCAACAACATAATGGTTCACTGGGGCTTATTGCTCAACTGCCTATATGGTAAGCAAAGACAGGCGGCTCACCAGCAGCTGTGTAGCTCTCCACATGGAGACTCCTGGCCCTGGAGGGAGCAGACTGGAGCAGGCCTGTGTCTGAGTGATTATTCTCTGCGCGAGCGCTTGCGCGCATGCACACATGCTTCATTGGTAAGGCCAAGACCAGAGGAACGTGGGGGGTGGGAAAGGCGGGACTTCCCCACCCAGCAACAGGGGTGTGACTTCTGACTTGGTGGAGGTGGAGAGATACCTCTTCCCTTGGCCAGCCAGGGAGGATGCTCACATGATGTGCGGGCACCTAGTACAGCAGCCAACAGCATCTCTGGTGGTGCTTCATGGCTCAGACACTCAAGAAGGACCACTTGTGAGGGCTGTGGCCCTGTCTTATCTGTGATTGGGGTGAATGGGATTCTAGTATCTGGTTTCTAGCTTCTTGGTGGCAGGGTAAGTAGGTGGCTCCCATCTGGGGCTGCTCTTCCTTCTAACCTGTCACTGGTTATATCAGCATGGCAACTCGGCCTGGTCTAGCTAGGGATGAGGCCTACACTGGACGGATGGGGTTGCCTGAGAGAGGGCGTGTCCTGAGATGCAGCCAGGGGGCCTCTGTTTCTCTAACAAGTCTCCCCCAGGGTCCTCAGGCACCTTCCTCAGGGGCTCTGCTCCCTTGTCTGTCTGTGTTGAGCCACCGCTCCTGCTTACCAGATGATGTCCTCTACTCCACTTCTTGGGTCCTTCCCCAGGTCTTCAGACTCTGAGAGGCAAACACAGCTGGTCAGTCCCATCGGCACCCCAGGCCGTGCCAGTTCAGCCCCCACACTTACTCTGAGCTATACCACTCACCACTCCCTAGTGCACTGCAGGGCCCTGCAGCCACCCAGGTGGCCTACAGCAGGCCTCAAGGAGGTGGGAGCAGCAGAGGGGTTTCTTCCCTCAGCCACTTGGTACCCTTAGCCCATGCACCTTTGTTTTTGCAGGTCCATCACCTTTCACACGCAGGCTAGAGCCACGCAGCCAGCAGCACAGACCCACCCCTAGCTCTTCATTCTCTCTGTAGAATTCAGATGAGCTATCCACTGCATCTAATAGTGTGTCCAAGACCCCAAGGTAACAAATGCCCTCGGTCCATCACAGCTGACCCAGAAGCAGAGCAGGGTGTGGGGAAAAGGGACACCTTCCCGATCCTTCTCCATACACAGACAGAGGGGATGGCTCCCTGAGGAGCATCTCACAGTCCTCTTGTCCTAGGGGGCAGGAGGAAACCTGAACCAACTGCCCAAGGGTGAGGGCATCCTGCATGCCCAGCAAGCAGCACAGGACACGAAGGTAAAGGTAATCCTGGGAGACAGCGGGCTCTCTAGTCCCGTGGCTCCTCAGGGTGCTGCTTCTGCCTGCTCAGAGCACAGCAGCTGTGATTCAGCCCAAGAGCTCTGAAGAGACAGGTGACTCCAGGATCTGTGGGGATCTCTGGGGGTTCTCCCAGGCCAGAACTCAGAGCCTCTCCTGTGCCCCTGCTGCTGCCTGGGCCAGATCTGAGTCTAGAACTACTGGTATCACCTGCTACCTGTGGCAGCCCTGGCATTCAAATCGAACCTGGGGGTTCCAGAGCTTTCAACGAGGCTTTCATGGTTTAAATGGAGGAGCCTGAGCAGGAAAGGAGCCTTCCTGTGAGAACTGGCCAGACCTTCTGTCAGCCTGGGACATGGTCAGCACTCGCCTGCTCTCCAGTCTACCGCTTGTGGAGAAGCACATCTCACACTCCACACTTCACCTGGGCTGTGCATTTGTCCCCTTTCCCACGTGACCCGCTGCTGATCTATCTGCTGACTGTAGTGTTGGACTCGCTTGTGGACCCCTGGCGGGTGGTACCTTCTAGCCCACAGAGAACACAGGAGGCCCAAGTTGTTTGCTGGGGCCGTTAGGGGACTTTCACTACTCTACAAAGTAGCTTTAGACCTTGGTAGCTCTCAAAGGAGAGCTCCAAAAAGAAAAGGCAAGTTGCAGTTCAGTCTCAGCCTTATGTAAGCCCCTTCCAAGCAGCAAGAAGCAACCAGCTTGTGTGTGCACACATGTGGATGTGTCCTAAAACTCCTGAGCGGTCCCCAGGCTGATCTTCCAGGTCTGCCCCTTCATAAGTACATCTGGTAAGGAGTGGGGTTGTAAGGACTGCAGGCAGGGCTACGGCTCAAGCATTCCTGGAATCAGTAGCTACCCACCTACTCTCCACTGGGATGCAGTGCCCACGGGCTCTGTCCCTCCCTGAGGCAGGGCTGGGCCTTCTGCCTGCCCTCCCGGCTCTCCAAGTATCAGTCCCCTACCTGGCTCTCTGCGCAGCTTCCTGACGTGGCTTGGAGGGTCCCCCTTCTGGTGCAGGCCACCCATGCTCCTGCTTCTGTGGAGCTCTGCCCCATCGCTGGCTGCCTTGAGATGTCCGGGGACCATTCCTGGGGGCAGGGCCCCGGGGCCAGGCCGGTGCCTCCTGTGCGTGGTGGTATCCTTCTCCATCCTGACCCCACGTGGAGGAAGGCACTGCCAGGGTACCACCTCAGACCAAGGGCATCGCGGCCAGCCTCTCCTCACCTTGTCTCTTCTAGAATGTGCTCCAGGCCTCCGTTGCCACGGCACAGCTATGATGTCACCTCAGGCTTGAGGGTCAAAGGCTGGCAGCCCCGAGGCCCCTGCAGCTCAAGGGTTGGAGTCTCTTCTACTTGGGAGTTTCTCTTCTACTTCCCCACACTTACTGGTTTCTCCACTAGACAAAGGTTCCCAGGCCAAGTCCACGCTGGGGCTTTCCATCAGAAACAGCCTCACGACTGTGTTCCTACCCAGAAGCTCTGCACTGTACCTTCATTCTTGAAGGAATTAGTGCTAGGGATAAAACTCAGAAAAAACAAATGAGGGAGGCAGCCATCAGACTCTGAACCTAATCTAGCACTGTGCAGGGACAAAACAAACCCGGGGGGGGGGGGGGCGGTTCTGGAGGAAGCCTTTTGGGAAGATGTGCGTTGTCCAGCCATGAGAACCAGTCCATGGAAGACCACAGCTGGCTGGTCTACACCCGGGGTGTCTCGGGGGTCAGCTCCTCTCTTGGCCGCTCAGCATGTAGAAAACATCTTCCCTATGTCCTTGCATGGTCACCCTGGCATCTGGGCCTAATCTTGTGGACACTGGCCACAGGGAGTCAGGCCCCCCTAACGATCTCGTTTGCTTCATACCACCTTAAAGCCTCTCCCTTACCCCCAGCAGTTACCTTCTGTGATGGAAGGACTACAGCGTATGATCTGGGGTACAATTTAACTCCTAACAGAATATTCCCATCTACTGCTCTGAATTCTACCTTTACCCTCTAGGGTTTTGGTTGGGGAGAGAGCTAAACTGACCTAAACAGCAGGCGAAAGTTGATACAAATTTAGTTTTTCTTAGGCACAGAAGCCTCATAAGGAATGTGGCTCAAAGTGACAAAATAAATGCTTGTCTACCAGGTGGAGGAAAGCTTTGGATGGTTGCACAACAGGTGTGTGTATGGGGCTGGGGTAGTGTATGTCCATCCTCAGTGACAAGGCCATTCTTCTCCTGAACAGGCAGGGTGGTGGTCGGTGTGTGTGTGTGTGTGTGTGGTCGGTGTGTGTGTGTGTGTGCGTGTGAAATTCCTCTGCTGGAAAGGACAGAGGCAGGTGAGAACTCTCCAGATGCCTGCTGGTTTTTCCAGTGCCTTTGCTAAAAAAAGCCTTTTTACCAAAGAGGTTTATTTCAGAGTGCAGAGGGCTGTTCTGTCCCTTCAGGGTACCTACTGGTGTGTGTGTGTGTGTGTCTCATTTCCTGACAGCAGTTTGTCCTGAGTGGACTCAAGAACACTCACAGAGAGGCAGGATGGCCCCAGACATAGCCTTCTCTCCTTTCTGGTTGTTTCCTTGGAGTGGCTCTAGCATCTAGGCAGGGGCTGGCTAAAGTACCCAGCCAGCAGTGTTGGGTGGCAACCCCGACCCACATCCAGACGTACTGAAGGTGGGAGCCCAGAACGAAAGCCAGAGGTGGTGTGTGGAGACAGCTTCCTCGGTTCGAAGACAAACAGGCTGTGTGTAGAACAAGAGGATGCATCACTCACCACTGACTGCTCACTGGAGGTCTGCATTCCCTAGTGTTGCCCTTTTTGCCTGTGTGCCTCCTACCTCCATGGGCTGGGCTCACCAGGCTCCCAGTTCCTTCCCATGTGCCCTGCTCCCTTGTGAACTCAGTGTTAACTAGGCCTGCTAAAATGTGAGCGGAGTTAACCAGGCATGCTCCAGTGAGATTTCAGTGTAACTAGGCCCACTCCCCTGTATGCTGCAGTCTAAGTTGAGTATTAACTTGTTATGCTTCATTGTGAGCTAGGTATTAAATCGGCATGCTACAATGTATCCTGGTGAACTTACCCTCTGTGGTGTGATCTCAATGCTGTCTATGCATGCTTCAGTGTGACTTGAGTGTTAACTAGGCCTGAGACAGTGAGTCGAACGTTAACTAGGCCTGCTCCCCTCTGCTCAGTGCCAACTTCTTTTGCTCCAATGAATCCTCTGGCCCTGGGGCTGCCAGAGCTTTCACGGCTGCTTGGGTCTAAGTGCCTTGAGCGGCTCAGGACAGGTATCCGTGGGCAGAGCAGCCATCTGCTACTCACCTCTTCATTTGAACCATAGACCAGGTGGGTATAACCTTCCCTGACCTGCTCCCTGCCCTTCTGTGATGGAGGCTAGTGAGGGGCCCACTCCAGATTCATCTTATTGGGTACAGTTTGTGTGCCTGAGACTTTCCCTTGGTATGCTCCTAGAAATGCTTACTTTGGTGTTAAAATCAAACCCCAGGCTTTCCTCCTACTGAGGGTAGCTCTAGATGGATTTAAAAAAGAAAAAAAAAGTGTAAACCAAATGGAAGACACTATGAAAAACACTAAAGAAACGTCAGAGTGACATCACCCACATCAGAGAGATGCTGTCACCAGAGATAATGTCACCTGTAAGAGGTCATTAGTTATCAAAATACAGCCACCCATATTCCTACGTGTGCCCTCCTGTACTGGGACACCCCCAGCCCCTCCTGTGTAATTCCAAGCACACCCCTCTAGAAAACAATCCAGCCCTCACAAAGAATAAAACATCTGTTTTAATTGGCCAGTAAAATACATCGCAAATCATTAGTATTTTATAAACAGAGACATTAAGTTACAAATCCATGTTAAAAATTGCAGCTCAGTGCAGCAAATAGCTGTGTATCCAAAAGTGTGTTTTTCGCACTTCCACTTCCGCAGTGATGACAAGTACTGTTACTATATGCCATCTCCAGACTATAAGTCTGGACTGTAGTCCAAATAGGAGCAGAGACACGGGTACCAGGACCAGTGGAGTGTCTTCCGAGTGCCTTCAGGCTCTGCCCCGCGGGGAGACCGTGTAGGATGAGGTTCCAGAAGCAGTGTGTGACTCAGCTGAAGTGGTCTGCTTGCCCCTTTTAGGACCCTCCTCCCCCCAACAAAAAGTGACCCAGCCGTCGCCCTGCCCGGCCTCCTGGGGCTGAGGTGTAGGTGGACACAGCCTCAAACCCAGGTCCCTCCTTCTGAGGACTGCAGCCGGTCTGCTGGTGAGACACACCATTCCCTTTGTATTTGTTCTCTGCAGCATCTCCTTTCATGAGTACATTAAAGAGCTAGTTAAAAACGGTCCTTTAAAAACATTACAAAAAACAGCCTGAAAAATGAACATTTCTAGTTAAAAAGTCCTCCCCAAATTTCCATCCTAGTAGCTTAACATCTAGATTCTAGTTTTAAAGACACCGTGTGCTCCAGCTGGGGGGTTAATGGTCACCTAGAGATAACTAGACCTGCTCTCCCAGCTAGGGACTCTGCAGAAAGGGCTTCATTTCCCTGAAGACCAAATTTGAATTTCTCTGCCATTCTGTGTATCCATGCCATAAAACTGACCCTTCAGCCAAGAACAAAACCAACACAAGCCGAATGGAGAGGCTACCTGCTCAGGGCAGTTGAGACAGCAGGCTTGAAAAATACTGCTCTTGAGGTTCCAAATACAGTGAAACAGGGTGAGGGACGGAAGGCCACATAGGTGCAGGCCAGGCCAAAGGGCAACAGCAGGGAACAGAAGTGCACACACTGCAGAACGCACAGGGCTGTGACTGGGCCGGCTCTGTTACCCAAGGAAGGGCAAGGCGGGGTTACTCGAAAGCCCACGCCGCCCCATCAGTCCATGGATCTCCGGATCCCCATGAAGCCAAAGTGAGTAAGAAGATAAATGACCGCATGTTCCCAAATGGCTCATATGGCCTGCCTCTGGCAGATGGGTGAAGTAAGTAAGGTGTAGGCCTCAGCAAGGGCTCTTGTGGGGGAAGGGTTTGCCCGGCTCACAGATGGCCCGCTGGGGCCTGCTCCCAGTGCCGTGGGTTTCCTGAAGCATCTGGTGGCACCAGAGACTTTAAATGGAATGGGTGGAGACCTCGGACTGTTGCCTGATGTAGTTCTGGAAGCTCTTGTCTCCAATGGGGTGCTCCCTGGAAAAGCAAGGGAGTGCAAGTGTCACGCAACACCTGAAGTGTCCACTTGTGCTTCAAAGGGCATTCTTACTTACTTGTAAGTGTGTGATAACTATGGAAAACAGGTAATTTTTTACAAAAGAACTAAGCACAAAGCCTTCTATGGAAGTATCTGCTACAACTGTAATCTCTCATGCACACAATTACACATGGCATGTTGCACTGTGTGTGCACATACATGCACGTAATGCACACACATATAAATGTATATAAACTGCAACCCATGTGTTGCAGCCATGCATAGTGTGTGCATATATTGAAATACTTACACATGCAAATGTGTAGGCTATGTACACATGTATATGGGTTGTGCCTGTGTGCTACAGGGACCATACAACATTGACAGTGTGCACACTCCCAGAGGGCATGGTTCTGTCCTCCTGTGTGCTGCTGAGGCTCTGCACTGAGGGCAGCAGCTGGTGAGTCACAGCACCCAACTGCTGGTTTGGGACTATAAAGCTGACAAGTGTTTAATATCACAATGCAAGGTTTTTACAAGGAATCTAGGTTCCCCAGTTAGAGGCAGTCCAAAGGGACCTGCTGTGCTGCTGTGGTGGTCAGGAGCAGGGACAGGTGGGTCTAGGGTCGGTCCTAGGAGTGACCTGGTACAGTTGGGATGAAGGCCTCTCCACACCCTTCCGTGGGCAGATGTAGTGGACATGTGAGCCTTCATCTTTCTCAGGCTGTGCCACAGCTCTGTCATGGTGGTCCTGGGCACCTGCTAGATGAGGCCAAGGCCCCGCCACCCTCTAACTTGGTACCAAGGCTGTTCTAGTTTCTTTGTAGAAATCCACCTTAATTTTCCCGCATTCTTCCCCCTGTGTAGGCTGGCCTGCCTGAGGCCACAGTCTAGAGGTGGTAGTGGCTGGGAAGGCCCCACCTGGCTCGAGCCTCAATCTTTGCACACCCCGCATTTCTTTCTCATAGGAAGTGTGCCGCCAGTCCAGAGCTGGCCTTGCTGTTGGCACCTTGGGTAGCCTGAGGAAAACAGCAAGGAGCATGTGACACCAAAGCAGGCAGGGCATGGCTCTGAGCCACCACGGATGCTGGAAGTCCAGAAACATTGGAGAGGGACCACTTCCCTGGACCTGGCCAGTGAGCCGCTTGTCCTAAAGGGGAGAGTGAGGCCTAACCTTGGTGGTCACACAGCACGATCAGGCCTCCAGCTGGGCTCCACTGGCACCCTCCTCTGCAGGACGGTGGCCACACAGGGAGGGAGGCCTGGGGGGGCCTGGCCCTGGGGGAATTGCCCACATCACACCCTGCTCCCACAGCCCTTGGCTTCACAG